AGACTGGTGGATCAAAAGCAATTCGCTGTTAAATATTTTGAAATTTTAATAGTAAATTCCAAAAATCCGCCGATATGTATTTATTTATTTATTTATTTAAAGCTAATATAAAATATCTCATGTTTAATTTCTCTTAATTAAGGTTGCAATAGAGACAGGTGCAAATACTGGTATAGGAGTCATAACAGCAAGAGAATTAGCCCGTAAAAATGCTCACGTATTCGTTGCAAGTCATAGTAAAGATAGAGGTGAATCAGCTGTAGAACTAATAAAAGAAGAAACAAAAAATGATGCAGTTGAATTTTTACAATTGGATCTACAAAGTTTAAATTCTGTTAAGGTTGCTGCTGAAACATTTTTGGCTAGAAATTTACCATTGCACATTCTGTGAGTGTTATCATAATATGTATATATATAGCGTTAAAACTAAAATTTTTTATGTATATTGATATTTACTTTATTCTCAGAGTTAACAATGCCGGTATTTCGTTAACGTAAGTTATTTTTTTCACATCAGATATGTAGTCGGTTCAAAGGCGTGAATATTTATAATAAATTATCATTCTAATTTTCACATTCATATAAAAAAGTCCATTTGCGACAACTGTAGATGGTATTCAAGATCAGTTTGGCACTAATCATATTGGCCATTTTGTAAGTATGAGAATCTTTAATTAAATTTTTTTTTTTAGAAAAAGTATTATCATAACATGATTTTTAAATTACGAAATAGGTCTTCACACTCTTGCTGTTGCCAACCATCAAAGCTTCGGCTCCATCACATATTGTAAATGTTAGCAGGTTAGTTTAATTCTTTCTATATGCTTAATTTCTTTCCACATTAAGAAACTTAATTTTATGTTATTGATCGTTATCGTCTCGGTATGATTTTAGTGGGATGCATAAATTTGCACCTTCACCAGCAGGGATAGAGTTTGAAAAGTTGAATGATCCAAAGGCTCTTACCTCTTCTCAAAGATACAGTCAATCAAAACTCGCAAATATTTTATTTACTCTTGAGCTTAATAAAAGACTTTCAGGAACAAATGTTTATTGTAATTGTCTCCATCCAGGTAAAAAAAATATTTTAAATTGGTATTTTACAATATAATACGTGTATAATAAATAACATACTATTTAATATCAATAACTGCATACGTATAAATAAGGTGTCGTAAGGACTGAGGCATCACGTGGAATGGAAGCTGACTGGGGATCTTGGATAAAACCAATTATCTCTGTAATTACCTTTTTCTTTTTAGCACCTGATGATGGTGCTTTAACTCAACTTTATTGTGCTACAAGTCCTGAAATTGAGGAGAAAAATCTTCGTGGAAAATATTTTGTACCATTTGGTGAAGTAGGTGAACCTACTACTCAAGCTAAAGATGAAGAATTGGCAAAAAAATTATGGGATTTTTCTGAAAATTTCGTTAAAGAAAAGTTGGGTGATGATATTTTTAGCAAGTGTTATGCATAATTTTGATGTCGTAACCATTAAAAATTCATGGGGTTCTCTATTTTTATTTTTATTTTATTTCGTTTCATATAATTTTCATTTTCATATTTATGTATGCAAGGAGGTTCAATTTAGTCGGATGGCACTATTTATTATTCGACTGTAACTTATATTCGACTCTAAGTAAAAGTTTTTTTCAACACAAAATTTTTGTGTACAGAACATTCTTTAGCCCTAAGCTTTAAAATTCAATTTTTATTGTATGACTAAAGATGCTGGTGAAATAAAATCTGAGTGGCAAAATAATTTCACCACTATTGGTGAAATTGGCGTTGAATTGTTGAAATTGGTGAAATTAATTTCACCAGCATCTCTAGTCATTTCATGGCATAAGTATATAATAAATTATCATTCTAATTTTTACATTCATATAAAAAAGTCCATTTGCGGCAACTGTAGATGGTATTCAAGACCAGTTTGGCGTTAATCATATTGGCCATTTTGTAAGTATGAGAATCTATTAATTAAATTTTTTTTTTTTAGAAACAGTATTATTATAACATGAATTTTTAAGCCACGAAATAGCTCTTCACACTTTTACTGCTGTCAACCATCAAAGCTTCGGCTCTATCACGTATTGTAAATGTTAACAGGTTAGTCTAATTTCTTCTATATTAAGAAATTTAATTCCATGTTATTTATTGTCTCGTTATGATTTTAGTCGTGCTCATGAAAAAGCGCCACCAGCTGGAATAGAATTTGAAAAGTTGAATGATCCAGAGGTAGAGGTTGGAATCGAATTTATTTTTTAAATTCGAATTTTTATAAGCTGAATTTGAATTGATTCGAATACGTTCAAATTTGAATAAGTTTGAATTTGGGAATTTATTTAATTCATACATAATTGTATGTACTCCTTACATAATCGTGCATAATCTTGCATAATCTTGCGAAATCACGCATAAATTCACAAATCCGAATATATTCAGCTTTAGTTTGTATAAAAATTTATGGAAAAACTGTTCATGTCAACCAATAAACCTTAACAAGAAGGAAACGAATATAAATTAGGCTTTTATAACAAATATATTACTTGAACAGGTGCCGCTATTAAAAAAGTTAAATATGATCGACTGGTTTAAGGTTAGGATTCCAAGTAACCAAGATATTATTATTTGTCGAGAATGCATGTCTTTGACAAGAAATAAAAAATAATTAGAAATAAATAAATGCTTTCGTTTGAACGAAAATGGATCTTGCCAAAGAATAGTAATTGAAATTTAGTTTAATTTTTTAAACCCGAATTTTCATCTTCGACAAGAAATGAAAAAATAATTAAAAATAAATAAATGTCTTCGTTTGAACAAAATGGTTCTTGCCAAAGAATAAGAATTGAAGGTTTATACAATTTTTTAAAAACTAATTTTCATCGAAAAATAAATAAAGGCTTCGTTTGAATGAAATGGATAATAGGAATTGAAAATTTACATAATTTTTTAAACAGAATTTTCATCGAAAAATAATTAGAAATGAATAAAAATTTTGTTCGAATGAAAACAGAACTTGCCAAAGAATAGGAATTGAAGTTTTACACAATTTTTTAAAAGCAAATTTTCATCGAAAAATAATTAGATCTTGCCAAAGAATAGGGATCGAAATTTAATTTAATTTTTTAAAAATGAATTTTTCGAGAAATGAAAATTAATTAGAAATGAATAAATGCTTCCATTTGAACGAAAATAGATCTTGCCAAAGAATAGGAATTGAAGTAGAACTTGCCAAAGAAAATTTATACAATTTTTTAAAACTGAATTTTTGTCGAAAAATAATTAGGGCTTCATTTAAGCAAAAATGTATCATGCTAAAGAATAAGATTGAAATTTTACGACTTACAAGTGTAAAAAGTAATATTTAGTCTTATGCAATATATATTAGTCACCTGATCTTATTAAATTGCGTATTTGATATACGTATCTGTTACTGAATCTTATTATTCCCAAAGTATATAACTTAACCGGATCAGCTGAAAAATCATTTGGCAAATTTTTACAGGTGTCCCAGGAATTATGATAATAGCTGTAGTATATTACTGTTATTTTCATAATTCCTGGAACACCTGATAAAAAATTGGCCGAATGATTTTTCAGCCGATTCGATTTAGTTTGTGATCTGTACAATAAAAGCTAACTGTATCATAACGATTGTCTAACATGTTTGTGCGTCTAGTTTGATGAAAATTTATGGATAAAACTGCGCTTGTCAACCGATAAACCTTAGCAAGAATATCAGATATAAATTGGACTTTTATAACAAAATATTACAAGAATAGTACCAATATTAAAAAAATTAAATATGAACATGAATTTATCGACTTATTTAAAAATGAATTTCTGGAAGCGATCAAAATTTTATTATATTTGTTGAGAATACATGAAGAAATACATGAAGAATTATGGTAAACAAAATTCAAAGTAGAAAATTTATATACAGTATAAATAACGAAATATTACTTTTTTTAAGTTCCATCTCAAATTGTAATTCTTACAAATACCAATCAGGTTTTTTCCTCAATATTAAAGTTTTAATATGCTTTACATCGTTCATGTTTAGAGAACGTGGTTTTCTTAAAAGCGACGGAAGTGTTTCAACACATCAATATCTTTGAAACTGCCTAAGAACCTGACTTATATAAGATATACTAACACCTATTGATTATTATTACACTCATTATATACAGTAAAATAATAAACTTGTTTGGCACGTTAGCCCGCCACCAACACCAGATCGATTATCAGGCTTATTCAATTTCAGGAATATTGTCATTGTTCTGGGCACTCTACACCAGGGATGGTAAATGACTTGAAATGACCCAAATGACTCAAATGACTAGTGACCAGTCATTGGGTCATTTCACATT